AGCATTCGAATCCAGTTTGAAGCGCGTTTTACCTCGTCAGCTGGATGTACCTGAATCTGAATTGATGTCCAATCAGGAACACCATTCGCTTCAAACGCCATTGTGTTATCCACTTACTTACTGAGTCCTGATAGGCACTAGCTTGTGTAAATGGGATGGATTTTAAATTCATTTGGTATTGTTTACTTGAATCTTCCCATGGATGTTTAAGATTGAAATTGATCAGTCACTTAATGGCACATGTGCATATTATGCACATTGACTCGATATCGATAAACTGAGAATAGCTACGACAGAGACCGAGAGACAGTAATTATAATGATAAATATAATTAATGTTATAAGAATATGTAAATATTTTAGAATATAGCACCCAAATGCCCTGGTACGGCCGAGAGTGGGAGAGTCCGCTCTCCCTCTCCAAATGCTCTCACATGGCCACGCGTATATAGCCTCTGCCAGGGAATCCCTACTCACTGTCTTCTCGTGGCGAGGGTGTTGTTCATGAAATTGAGAGAAGTAAATGTGAATGTTTGACGCTTTAACCGGGATGGTAGATATGGAGGATCCATCGAAGGAAGTTGGAAAACCATGATTCAAAACCAGTGGTACACAATAGCTCCAGAATCGTGAGGGAAAAGTGGCATATGAACATATTGTTGGCCATCGGCTACCATAGAACTGCATCTCCTAATGTTGCTCCACTGCCTTGTGGATCAGACCTTTGGGTCAAAAGCTCCGGGTGTAACCCTCTATGAAAACCACCTGGTTCGGTTTGAGCACCCGGGCAGTACCACAGCTCTCACACATATCAAATGAGATCTGTGCGGCGCACATGTATTTGGTGCCTCCTTGTACCAATATCTATGTGTTAAAATAAATAAATTTAGAATATCACACAATAAACTTGAGCTATAACATATGTGTAGAAATCGCTGAAAATACAAATATTTACTAAATAATAATAAGTAGTATAAATCAATAAACAAAAGGAGTTGGTGGGTAGAGAGTAATGACAGAGAACGTAAGCAAACTTAACAACTATTGCGATAAAGCGGTCGAATATAAATACTTTTCATTTGCTACGTTATACTACTGACATGTAATATTACAACCGGTAATCGAGAGTATAGAATCATTAGATTAGATACTCAATCGATAAGCTATACAAAGACTGAATCATATTATACCGAATACACGATTTACGACCAAATATAGAAAATGATTTATTATTTATTCATTCAAACACATAAACATTGGTACAAGGAGGCACCAAATAGATATCCGCGACATAAATCATTCGATTTGTGAGAGGGCTGTGATACTGACTGGATGGCCAAACCGAAGCAGTTGGTTCTCTTATGGAACCACACACGAAGCCTTCGACCTAAAGATCTGATCCACAAGACAGTAGAGCAACGTCAGGTGATGCAATCCCATGGTTGTCGGTAATCAACGATTGGTTCATACTCCATTTGTTCCTTCAAGATACTGGAACCCATGTACACCATTGATTTCGAATAATCGTTTTCCAACTCCCCTAAGTGGTCCCTCTATGTCCACCAACCTGAATAAAAAGCGCCGGACATTCAAGATGAAAGAATAAATGCTGTTTCACAGTTGTTTTTTTTTAATGTTACATTCTTCAAATTCTAATAACGAATACATTCCTTTATTGTTTAGGTCATATTCAACCTACAATCAATCAATCAACCACAATCTTCTCTACTCATTTACGTTATGATTTAATGAATCAATTCTATGAGAAATTAATTCATTTTAATAAAAATTGGTTAAAACAATTAAGTATCCAAGTATTTTTCAAATCTATCATATTACATAACAATCAAAATGAATTCATTTTAGATTATATATTACAAAATTTATTTAATGCAATTGCTTATGCAAAATAAAATTTCCTTTTTTTAAAGAAAGAATATGGGGGTGGGGCAGTGTGGAGATTGTAGTAGGTTTCTAATCGTTGGACGTATGAGTCGATCAAAGTTAAATCATCATTAAGAACTTGGAAGTAATGAGCTGACGTTTCGTTAAAGTATACGAATCTTCAATCGTGTGCATCCACGATCCCGCATGATGCCACGTGCATACAACTACTGTCAGAGAAGTTCCACTCACTGCCTTCTCGTGGTGAGGGTGTTATTCACGAAATTGAGAGAAGTAAATGTGAATGTTTGACGCTTTAACCGGGTTGGTGGATATGGAAGATCCACAGAAGGGAGTTGGAAAACCATGATTCAAAACCAATGGTGCACATTAGCTTCAGGATCCTAAAGGAATAATGGCGCATGAACATATTGTTGGTCATCGGCTACCATAGAACCGCATCTCTTAATGTTGCTCCACGGCCTTGTGGATCAGACCCTTGGGTCAAAGGCTCCGGGTGTAACCCTCTATGGAAACCACCTGCTTCGGTTTGTGCACCCGTGAAGTATCCCAGACATCACGCAAATCGAGTGGCAAAGTGTGGTGCATACTAGTTCTGTGCCTCCTTGTACCAATGTTTAAATAAATAAAAAGTACCACATACGGGGTTCGAACACAGGACCTCAGAACTATCCTCTAGACCACTGAGCCTGAAGCGCAACGATGTTAATGTCTAACTTTAATCAATCCACGACATTGCGCGGCCATCCACGATTGTCTACAATGAGTAACTGCCTCTACAAAAGACACGGTTGGACTCTACTGGCCACAGCTTCTCACTAGAACTCCAGGAAATACCTCATAAAATCGGTCACTAGTGAGTTCCATACTAGGATGAAACGACCGTCTAGTGCTTCCACGTTTTCCATGGTGATCTAGTTTTAATCGAATCATGAATTCAACTATTAAAAATATTAAATAAATTAAGCGCCGATTATCATTCTGATAGATATAAATGTGAACTAGTCAAATTAGCACAGCAAAATGAATAGAAAATGAGTCGAAGTTACATTGATGCCCATGATGAAAGGAAAAAAAACCAAACACGTCAAGACTGGCAGTGGTTGGGGTTACCTAACATATGCCCAAACTCAATAGATGGAGACTCATAATCTCACCAACTGATTTGTCATTTTTGCACATAAACTTGATTATGAGTAATCAATATGAAGTGTTCGATATATAACAGAGTGAATCCCTATAACAGCAACAGGCAATAAATACGATTATCCTTCAGAGGCACGTTATGTCTCAGGAGCATCGAGACCTAGTCTGAGAATTCAAACAACCATCACTATTTAGTAAAAATAGAATGCTTCGATTTAGATTTTTGACCAACTTTAAGTCACAGTAAGAAAATAGTCAAAAATAGAACAAACTATCCAAGCGATATAGTAACACCAATTCTAAGTAAGTGCAGCAAGACCCGGCATTACGACCTAGTAGTTGAACGCCTTAATCACTGAACTACCACTTATACTGATGAGCTGGGGAAAACCAATTTATTATTCAATGCGAAATTAGAGAGTGCATTCATAAAATATGAAAACCATACATTATTTGCACATCTTCCTTCACTTGTCCTTTATATGTTTCATAACTCTTCCAATTTCACTGTTATTACAACTTCTCTCTGTTTCCCTTCCTATTCTCTTCATTTCAATCTTATGCTAACAGGCATTCCATTTCCCATTGGTGCTACATACTTCATGAGTTGGATACACCACATATATACGATTGTCCTGATGAGCCAAACAAGTATGTGTAGGCAGGGATCTTGGCAAAGTACTTCACCAACTTCCAATAGTGTATCACTTACAGTTTCTCGTTTAACACTTGACCTTAAGATGATATATGAGAAAAGGAATGTGGTATATCCATGTTTGCACACTCCAATCAGCATGTGAAGTAGGGAAAATCTTATTTCATCAGTCAGAATCACAAAATGTTGAGTTCTTAATGGTAAATCAGTTCCTTCCGGTAACCGACCGTTAACTGCTGTTATCCCAAAACTACAGTATACTGAATCTAGCAGGAGAAAACGTCTATTAATATCTAGTATCTTGTGTGAACTGATCCTCTCTGTCACATTGCAAAACATTACAATTAAGCTAAGAGGGTCACAACTGACATATATCATCGAATGTGCTCATAATAAGTTAACAGATGTGTGCCATCTCTTAGTTGAACGCATCATCACAGTGATGTAGTAGGTGACAAGTAAACCTGTCGTGTCTTAATTTCATAAGTTGGTGAATGAGCTACAAAATCTGACAGTCCTATAATCACTTAAGAATCAAATAAATCTCACCAACCTTATTTCATATAAAATATTTGGTGTCGTAATACTTTATTGTATAAAATGGCTCATACTTTGATGACTAGTTATGGTCTTTTGAAATTCTTTCATTGAACTACGGAGTTTTGTATCAATAACTCAGAATTATTGAGCAATTACCATCGTTTGACCACAATCAAGTCAAGTGTTTGATCGTATATCTCATAATCAATACAATTCTTGCATAAAATTCCTTTCATTATAATACATACACTAATTATTTAACAAAAATAACACAGCAAAGAGATAATTCGTCTACTAAAAGCATCCCGTTTTTTGCTTAAAACTCTTATTTTAAACCAACCAGTGACCCAAAAGTAAAGTGTGAAAAGATATGTAGACCTGGAGCAGCAATTTGGAAGACTCTCCCGGTCCCCCACATCGTAAGAGTATTCTATGTGCCTGAATTAATGATTGCTCTGGTTGTCAGAACTCGTGACTTCCGAAGGAACCCGGCTTTCACCATGAGGCATCATAGCACTTCTAAATGAAGACCTTCTAACTCCCAGGACAGAATTTAAGTGGTTTGAATTATTTTTTCTGGTTAGCACTTCTTTAGCGAGTTAGTTTTCTATGGGATAGGGTCGTTAACCCCATGCCCAACCATCTTCCTTTGTCCGGGCTTGAAACTGGCAGTAGCCCCAGGGGGGCTCCAGGCGGGGTTATACGTAGGCCTAGTTTACCCAAACCAAGAATGAACAATTAAACATCCCATAAGATTAACTAATAAATATAAATGTATGATACATGCGTAAGTGATAATTACAGTTAACGGGAAAAAATCCGAATTTATATGTTTTCTTTGTTTTGTTTACTTGAATTAAGCAGGTAACTGAAAATATGTGATCATCATCACCATAATATGGGAAAAGTTACCCTCCATTATAGAGAATATAAGAATAAACAGACTGAATTTTCTGTTCATATTATATTAGTATTCTCTTTAAGAATTATTAATCCTCATCTCCTTTATTTAGATTATCTTTAATCATATTATATGTTTGATTTGTATCAACACAGTGATTGTTATCATCATCGTTATCATCAGGATTTTTGTCATGTACACGTTTTTGACCACTAGTAAATGAACTAGTAGTAGTGTTATTAGTAGTAAAATTGTTAGGACTAGAAGACAAAGAACTTGATGAAACTTCCATTGGCTCATGTACTGTACATGACGAAGAAATGACTGGAACAGAAACAACGTTATTACTATTAATTGTAGATGCATAAATGGACGATTGAGATGAGGATGAAGTAGATGACTGTACAACAAATGGTTGATTATTTCTTGTTTCATTGTCTTGACAAAGTTTCGATTGTTTTTTTCGTTTAATTTTTAATGCTTCCCATTGTTTTCGATGTTTATGTACATAACGATCCCAATGATTATGATTTAATTGAGTGAAATCTTGTTCATTTAAAGCAATTAATTCTAAATACTTAATCAAACGTAATAATTCATGATCGCGCGAACAATTCACATGAGCATCACGATATGAACGAATCTATGAGAAGAATATTAAAAATGAAGTGATATAAATCGCATTTGTATACAATAACTGTTCCTACAGTATCAACTTATTTACCAGGTACAGATTCAAGTGATACCCTAAGAGTAAGAAGTACTGTACTACCCGATAGCTCAGTTCCAAGTGCAACAAGATTCGACACTACGACCTAGTAGCTGAAATTTGAACGCCTTAACCAATGAACTACCACTTATATTGATGTTGGGACTTCCTTATCCGCAAATCTAGTAGAAGTGATCACATTTCCAACTGAGCTGTTGAAGACTAAGTTATGTAACGTGAATTTCCGTATCCCTTCATGAATCTCTTTCCACCCTGTTTTTTTGCGAACTATATTCCTAAGATTTAGTCTTACATTTTATTGTTGCTACTACAATTATTTCGACCTCTTTTGTTATTTACATCTCGTTGTGGGAATCAGGTATGGCAACTTTGGCTAATGCACATTTGTGTCAGGCGATATGTTGACGTCTGTTTGTCTTTTTATTATGTAACTTTTATGCTAATATTTAATTGATGTATGGTCAGTGAAAGTAAAAGTGATCGACCGACGAGTGTGGACTGAAAAACACTTGGTCTACTAACTATTAATTGTGACTTTTTTCTCCTATTATCGATTTCTACTCTGGACTCACTGTGTAAACTGCTTGTAATCGCGCTGAGTAAATTCTATTCTATTCTCTGAATTTCGATATTTAGTCATGAATTGTGTATCTAGTATAACATGATCCAATCTGCACACAGCCTATCAATGGAGTATCCAGTCTAGTGGTAACATAATCTCGGTTACTAGTCGTATTATAGTAGTATGACGCATCACACGAAAAATATTTCTATCCTCCCGTCATATCAGTAATCTGATATAAGCGCCTTTTTTATACATATATTTTTACACCAATCATTATTAAGACATATTGAGCCAGAAAAAAACAACAGAAAAACGAGATTACCTTACCCTTAATCCACTCTGTGGATTCATGATAAAATTCCTACGGACATCATCAAACATAATTGTGTTATGCGGTCCCCATTGAGGGTGATTATTCCATATAACAGCTAAGGGTTTAACCTAAAATAAAGCAATAATTACAATATATTTACATGTCTATGTATCTATATGTGGTTTAAGTAATCTGTCTAGTTATTACAAAAGTTCTTTGAAAAATCCTATTGAAACAGTAACATTTGATAATCAACACAGTTTTTAATTATTCAAGGAGTAATGGTACAGTTATCATTTCAATCAAAAATAATCACTAGTCGGTTTTATGAGAAGAATTTTAATGCTTTATTAAAAATAAACAGTGATTTAGTGATTAAAACAACCGATTTTAAACGAAAAGAGTGGTAGGTTTGCACTTTGACAGCTGTAACTGATTAGTTTTACTAATCATCACACACAATAAGTGGATTATACATCATATATATAATTTCATATAGTACAGTCCAGGGTTTAAGATGCGACGGATAAATACATGACTTTATGTATTAAATTTATGCGTTTATTTAAACACATAAACATCAGTACAAAGAGGCACCAATGCATATGGACCACACCTTATCATTCGATTTGTGTGAAGACTGGAATACTGTTCGAACGACCAGGCCCAGGCTGGTGGTCTTCTTAGGAAACCACACCCACGAGTCTTTCACCTAGAGGTCTAATCCAAAAAGCAGTGGAGCAATGTTAGGAGGTGAAATCCCATGGTAGCCCTTGACCAACAATAGGTTCACACGTGATTTTTCCTGAAGGCTTCTGGAGCCTATGTGCACCACTGGTTTGGAATTAAGGTTTTCCAACTCTCCTAAGTGAATCCTCCATACCTACTAACCCAGTCAAAGCGCCAAACACTCGTTTTTCGTCCTCTCAATTTGAAAAACAACACCCCCGTTGCGAGAGGGCAGAGAGTAAGATTTCCCAGGCAAAAGCTGTATAAGAGTGACCATGTGAGAGCATTTCAAGAGATAGGACTCTCCCCGTTTCAGTGCATATACAAAATATCTGTATTGAATGTTATAGGATTGACAATAGTACTCAATATGGTATTTAACATAAGTATTGAACAAACAGCTTAAGAAACCTAAAGAAATAAATTTTTAACACAAACATCAATTATCTTATTATGCATAAGATAATTGATAGAGTTGGAAAAGACAAATAAAAATAATCTATTTGACCCAGATCTCTTATTTTATTCATTTCATGGCAATGACCTTCATGGAATGTATTTGATCTAATAGTATTTGTCTAACAAAATATAAAATAATTTGACTGTAATGAGTAAATATACGATTATTCTCTGTAAGAAACTTTATTTGCCAAAAATGTCCAGTTACAGCGTTTTAAAAAATGAAACTCAACTAGTACACACCAAGAATTAAATCATAAACGGTTTTCACTAATTCTTTATATTTTAAATGATACACTTTTATGTGTTCAAAAACAATTTGTACTTACACTTAACCTACCCTGGTAATACTGATTTACTGTCCAGAGTGGTAATCACATTTGTTTTTGTGTACTTTAATATTTTTCCTTTGTTATGACTTACCCTTAACCTGTCTAGTTGACCTTTTAATTTTTCATATATAAATGTTCTTAACAAGTATATGTGTGATCAGATTGTTCGAAATGTATTGCACAAATATATCACATAATTCTGATAAACTTCGTCTTCTCATTGCATTATCGAAATTTATCAAAGGGACTAATTGTTTTAAATTTTAAAAGTAAATTTTGGGTTATTTTGAGTGTTTTAGTTAACAATTGACTACCTCTCTTCAGAATGCACGTAGATTGACAGAGATTACTGAATGAGTGGCAGGAAGTCACATATCATCCAGTAAATGAACAAGTATTCGTTTAATGTGTCTATAAAGCTCGAACATTGTAATATTTAACTAAATCACTCATCTTGTGCTAATGAGGTGAGTGTATGCGCCTGGTCCTACGTTGTAGCTGACTGACTGAAACTACTCATATGTTTAAAATAATGGAAAATGGGTTTGAACTATAACGCGAAAATCGATCCGTACAAGATAGATATTTCAAAATAAAGGATAAAAAGTTCAGATGAAGATCTATGCACAAAGCTAGAAGCCACATTTGCTAAAATGTACGCCATATTATCAAACTACATCTAACAGAAGCACGCTAAAAGTCAGTAGTTAATAAACGAAGAGTGAGATAAATGGTCAACTACTTTAGTAGTTAACTGAAATTACTTAAAAGTCAAAACAACACTCACTTCTTTGATGCCATGTTCAGTAAATTTAACACTAATCATATCCGAGGAATCGAGAATTAAAGCTATTCGGAACGATTTATTGTACTGATCATCACTTGCATTTAAATCTTCCGAGGGCAATGAATCGTCATTTGTAGAACTTGTACTGCCAGTTATATTATTTCGATGTTGAAATGTTTTGGCTACATGCAATGGTATAATACCTAACTGACCTAATTTTGCCAGAATCCATGTCATACTCGTAGCAGACCATATCGCGATATCATAATGAACATATGCACGTGTTAAGAATTCTATTAAATGAGGACGAGCCAATTGATGCACTGATTCAGCTGGTGTAAGATGATCTATTTATACAAACACAAAATGTAATCTATAATTTAGTGAGAAATGACGTTATTGCTAAAAATAAACTGGTCAGATACATCAACTTACTTTGATAAGTAGGAAGATATTGAGTTAAAACTGTAACGATTGGGAATTAGAACAATGGTAAATAACTATTTAATATTCGTAAGTTGTCAAGCACGAAAATTAGAACTCATGAATTATCTCATGAAAAACCAGCTGCTTACAACGACATGCAGTTAGAATCGAAACAGATTGAACACGTTTTGCCGTCATGGAAGTAAACTTAGCCTGCTTATCTAGGTAAGCCACAATAAGAACTGTCTACATTGAATCAAATTATACCAATTTTACTTGATGTTGTATAGAATAATTCTGTTTCACCAATTTGTTTCAATCTAAATTCAAGTGCTTATTGAATTGGCAACGGATGTTACTAGGCTGCAAAAACTCCATTTCTTTGTTTACACAGTAGACTGAATATATCAGCAAATCACATCATGAACTCAGTATAGTGCAGTAAAATTAATCACCAACTAACTAAAGTTATGATTGTTTCGTTGCGATATTTACATAGTCGCCTGCAGGACTAGGTAAACACACAGAAAAATCCAAATCTACGTTTAGTTAGCCAATTTTTCCTCGTGAAAATATTACTTTTAAAGACGATAAGGTGGATGATTATGGTTTGTTTGATGGTTTTGACATTAAAACTATGCCTCTATGTATTGATAACTTAAGATATTCTTAATTAAACTTTAAACACAAATCATTTTGTCACTTCAAAGGAGAACCTTTTATGTTTGATCCTTGTCACAAGCCAGTAAGAACTTTTTATCAACGAACAGTTGACAATGTTTGATAGTATTAATAAAATGCGTAGTTTTAAATTGATTGTGAGCACTAATTTAAGAGTTCCATCAGAAACATTAAACTGTATTCGCAGATATCTTGATAAAACTATTTGCATATAACTTTAAATTATCAGATTAGTGTGGAGTCAAAATAAAAAAACCCTAAGATTTCTTTTCCACTTTAAAAGCGCATAACATTGGATTCCTATTAAAATCACAGAGCAACCCCTCAAGATCAACAAGCTACTACATGAAAGCTGAATAACTCATACTAACCAGAAATACATGAAACTTTCGGTCTGTAAAGATGAGAACTTACCAAAGATCGTGTAATCTATATCCAGAACAAGCAACTTCTTACCATCTCTGAATTCAGACAATTTTCGTGGACGGTAGGCTTTACAGCGTCTTGCAACTTTCTCTATGTTTTCTGTACTACAAATTTATTTTAAATTCACCAAAGTTACACGTTACACAGTTGTATGTCTTCTTCTTTGAAATCGAAATCATCAACAACATCAGGACTATCTTCCGTACTATTAACCTTAAGCTAACGGAAATCATAAACCTAGGTCAAATTTACGATTTCCTCCTGGGTAGATCCTATAAGCATTAACTTGGTCCCGGGTTTCAAAACAAGACATGATAATGTTGTTGAGTCGACAACAGGATCGTCTATGAAGTTGAGGAATGTTAAAAGCTGGTACGAACAAACTGTTTGTTGTCCGGAGACCTAGAATTTTCTGATTCTTCGGTAAAACCCTAGTTAACTTGAACAATTCTTCCTTAAGGTCAGAAACATTGTGTTCACGAGATAAACAGTTAATGATAATCGGCTGACCATTGTACTTCAATTGTAAATGAACGGTTGTATCACTCATTTGTACAGTCAACCCGATTTCAAGGTCATTGGAGTGCAGAATACAATATCGAATATCTCTATAAGAAATTGCTGTGAATCCGTTAATTTCTCTGGGCTTATTTCTGGATGTTAAGGTGCGGCTCTACGTCTTTAGCATCTTCCAGTGTAGAGATTCCAGCCATTTGTTTGCGCTAATTTTAGTTAATTAGGAAGTAATTTGGATGTTAGGATGTTGTGCGTGTACAGAAGCCATAGATACATAATGCTCAGTATTGCTACTTTCCACAATCTTCTGGTATGTAATGATTCCAGAGCCGATGAAATCAGAAATCAAAGCTAGTGTCATACATAGATACATTTGAGTTTTGATTTGATGTATTGTGGTGTATGGAATCTAAGCTGAAGCGTTTGAACCGTCAACTCTTGTTCACTGACACTAACTTTCGATTTTGTGGCACTTATTCATTCGCTTTGGTGGGTCTATCATTAGAAGTAAAAATGACGTTCATTATAGTCACGAATCAAATAACTTTTCATTTGGATATGTACTGATGCAGGTGATATTTCTGCTGTGCAATTGCTGGTGGAATGGAATCATCAACAGTTAAATTTCATTTTTTGTGATTGTTCGTTTTTTTGGTCGAAAGCAGTTCAAAGATAGTATTTTATTTATGATTATTGTCTACCAGGATGTCAATTGCAACAGTTCTTCCCTTGAAACACGCCACTACTGAGCTGTAGTCCCATCGATTCGTAAAGTGTTCTATGTTAGACTTATTGTGATTTTAACTTAGCGTCAGCTCCTTGAAATTCGCTTCGTCATGTGTTGGCTTTTGAAGTTCACTATAGAGGTTCGAGTAGTGTCTTCGTTGGCCTCTTTCTCTTACCTTATATCACTACAAGATTACTTCTTATCTCTCCCTAACTCCCTGACTGTCATAAGTTTCAAAATCTGTTTTCATATGATGTGTCTTTTTGTCATATTGTCTGCATTTTGCCAGTTCACGCACTTACTGTGAGGCATGTTATGTCTTTTCAGACAAAATGGAGGTATGTTTTGTTGTCGATTACTCCCGTTGATTAGTTGTTGTTTGTGTGCATGCTTCTATCAACATCGGACCCAAGTCACAATCCTTCGGGCTTTTAGAAAGGCGGAGACCACCGAAATAATCGACTTGATGCTCCGTTCTGACACAAGTAACATAAGTGAACATTTCTGGAGTCTGTATGTCAAATAGTTCTTTTATGTCCATTTCCCCATCAGTACGAGGTCTCTTTAACGCTATGACTCGCTTTCTTATCTGCCAAGTGTTCACCAATTGATATCGTCTTCGCAGTCAGGTTCTGGTCATGTAGGGTTTTGTGATAGATCGCTTATTACTATTCAGAACAACAGGTTGGCTCCTTGCCTGACCTCAGATATTGTTGCTTCCCACTTTGATCGCACCCAATCAACATTCGTGCTGAATGCTTGATCACTTACGCATTTCCTTAAGTAAGAAAGAACCGAGAACTCTACATATAGCCCTTCATATGTTACTGCCGGTCCGAAGACCGGGTAGAGGAGAGTTGCAAATGGACTTAGCAAATCCAGCCCGCCGAAAACAACCTCGCTAAAAAAGCGTCAACCAGAGAAACCATTTAAACCACTTAAGCTCTGTCACGGGAATTGAAAGATCTTCATCTGGAAGATTTATGATACTTCACGGTGAAAGCCAAGATCCTTGGGAAGTCAATAGATCGATGCCCATCCTAATGATCGGACTAACAATTTACATATGGACATGGAATTTCCGGACAACTTAGGAGACAAAAAGGACTAACTAAACATCTGTGGAATTGAAGCACTATAACCTGGTAGTGCTCGGAATGAGTTAAACCCAATTTACTTAAGCTAGGCAGAAAAGTTTAGATTCGTGAGGGATGCTGCAGTACTCCAGTTACGGGGGGGGGAATGTTCCACACACTCAGGGAATCGCTCTGATGCTATCCAAAGAAGCACTTGAAGAACTTACAGGTTGAGAATCTCATGAACCCACAATCATCAATGCATCCTTCAAAACAAAGGAGGGAATCACAGTAAGTGTTATCCTTTGTTGTGCGCACACCGATGATAGCGATGTCGACGATAAAGATCAGTTCTACGAGAGGCTGCAATCGATTATAGCAAAGTGTTCGAGAAAGGATCTTACAATCCTGATGGCAGGTCTAAATGCCAACCGGGTATGAAAATGTCGTGGGACAACATGGACTGGGAGAATGAAACGAAGGCGGTTGGAGATTTGCAAGTGTACGTACATTTCTAAAGATAATGACAAACTAAATGAATTCGGTATAGCTCCAACCAAGAGGTTCCAAACCTTACAGGATCTACTGTAGGAAGAAACTACTTTGAAAGACAATTGGAAAAGGATTAAAAAAGCAATAACTTCAAAGTGTCAGGAGGTTCGGGACCGCAAGAGACATCATCATATGGAGTGGATATTTATGGAAGTCCTGGATAAGATTCGGGAAAGGAAGAACAAGAAGACGGTAAATAACAACGGTCAATCAAGACTAGAGGAAGTCAAGGCACAAGCCGAATACACAGAAGCAAACAAGCAGTAGGGCAGCCAAGCAGAAATACGTCGAACAGATAGCAATAAGCGGAATAAGCTCCAATATAAAGAAATATGAGACAGCTATACGACTCAACAAAAAAAAACTAACAAGGAAATACAGTAAAACAAAGATACCGGTCACGTACAATGAAGGCAAGGCAATCATCGAAATCCAAGTACTTCGGCAACATCATCGAAAACAGTGACATGATGAAGATATGAATACAAGGATTGATAATCGAAGGCAGTATAGTATTCTCATTATAGTATGAATTAGGAATTCCAGGATTAACGCAATTGAACTAAGAAGACACAGGCACAAACGAATGTATTGTATTTAGAATTCGAAATCGAGCATTCAACCAGTACAAAGGTATCATTAGTTAATACAAACACCACATCCGCCACAGCTTAAATAGAAGTATAAGTGTTTGTAATCGGTTGTACGTCTTCTTGTTAAGTTCATCCTGAGTCTGTCCGACATTGTATAAGATAAAAACTTTGTAGTATCTAGAAAGTGCTCATTAGTATTGGAATTAACAAACGAAATCGGAACAGACTCACCTGGAATTGTATACAACCAGCATGTCGGTTTTGTAATGAAATCATTAATATCTAGAATTCGAACCATAGATTTTTCAACACTACCCCCCCCCACGAAATAATGTTGGATCTTTATACTCCCAAGTTATGAATAATGTGGCTTCATTTAAAACATATATCTCACATTGTTTAGAGTAAACATTAGAACTGTTTTTGTGATAAGAGTAAACAGCAGTTGATATGAAATCATCCGAAATATAATAAAACTCGAGGTCACTTAGTACTCGTGCTTCGCATTGGGCAGGTTTTTCACGAAGATCAAATACATTATGAGGATAGGTAATATATGATATGACATCAGGATTTGATTCTTCTGAAATATTCTCATGAAATTCATCAGGACTGTCATTGCAGAGCGTAGGATCGTTAGAAAAATCAGCATCTATCCAAACCACATCAGGTTTTCGATCATGATTAGGTTCATTTAACATATTTTCCTCAGAATTGCAAGTAATTTCATTAGAAATATGTGAATCATTAGGAAAAGTCATACTTGGTACAATAGCATGAGAATTCTGATAAATCGGTTGATTAGGAAATGTTGTCTCACAAGAATTCTGGATTTCATTTAACTCTGAACTGCCATATGACTCTGCACTGTCTTTTGAAATCGTTGATAAAGATAAATGATCATCATGAATACTCGACTCAGTAGAATCAGAATTACAAGACTTAATATTAATTGCAGTAAGATGAACATTAGCATTACAAACTGACTGAACTTGTCCAATATCACGACATTTGAAGCATTTAGAATTATGAAATTTACATGAATTAGAAGAGTGGAACTTGCAACAGGACAAACACTGACCAAACTTGTCCCCATCCTCGTGAACTGCATCCAAATTCAATGAATTGTCTGCATAACCTTGAGTATGCACTAGGTTGAGATGACGTAGTAATGTAGTGGACTTTTTTATATCCTCATGAATCATTTTACGAAATCTTCCTCCTTTACGACATTTGAAATTTGTATACTGAGCATAGTCTAGCAGTAGATCCTTGAGAGCTGTATAAGAAAGCGAAATGGGTTTTTCCGGCATAGCCAGAGTTCTTAATAAGCTGTATGCTTCTTTTCCAATGAATGTGAGGAAGTGTGCCACAATATTAACATCCTCATCATCTTCCTTGGTCATAGCCCAGATTTCGAACCTTTCAAAGTAATCTTCAAAAGCTTCTGAAGTTGAATGAATATCTAACTTTTCCATTGCAGGCTCCATCGCGACGCCAATATAGTATTCTAATTATAGTATGAATTAGGAATTCCAGGATTAACGCAATTGAACTAAGAAGACACAGGCACAAACGAATGTATTGTATTTAGAATTCGAAATCGAGCATTCAACCAGTACAAAGGTATCATTAGTTAATACAAACACCACAGGCAGCATCTCTAAAATTGCGGAACATAAGGAGTTTATAAGAAACGTTAACCAACAGTAAGATCACAATTTTCAATACAAACATCAGGACAGTTATATTGTGAAGAACAACTACATTTATCATCAAAAGTACAGATATTTATAAGAGTTTATCTACTAATGTTACTTCAGATTTCTTGACTGGATACCATCAGCAAGATCCTGTTATGGCAAAAAACAAATGAACCTAAAGCTGAAGAGAAAATTAAAAAGATGCTGGAGATGAGTAGGACATTAATTGCAGAAACCATCAAACTGCATCACTAAGAAAACCTCAATTTGGAGTCCTCAAGCCAAATGGGAAAGAGCATGAGACTAAAGAATACATGAGGACGTTAATCGGGAAGAGACATCTAAGGACTGAATAATACTCGGAAAAAATTGTGAAGGAGAGCACAGGGTGGGGTTGGTTGGGGGGT